TTTCCTCTCAGTAGGGGATTTTTTTTTTTTTAATCCCTCCAAATTTAGGCCCCCAAGTTGAGAAGCAGAGGAAAAACAAGCATAGTCTTAGGAAGTAGGAATAGTTCCAGTGTGGAGATAGGGCCTTCTGGGTGGCCCTAATATAGTTCTTCTTTCATGAGATAGGAATTTTTCTATTGATAAACCTATATCCAGAGAATTAAGAGCAAGAAAGGGGAGAAGAGGAAAAGGAATAGGAGGGGAGGGGAGACAGAGATAGAAAAAGACAGACAGTAAAAGAAAAAGAAAGAGAGGGAAAAAAGAGAAAGGGAGTGAAACGAAAGAGGGCCCTGACATTCTTACCTCTTGGTGATGGGAATGTTGTTTGATATATGAGATCCATGTTAGGAAAGCCACCCAGATTAGCTCAGTGTAGTAGCATTTGTCTATAATCCCAGCCTCTGAGAAGCTGAAGCAGGATGATCACCACCAGTTGAATCCCAGCCTGGGGTAGTGAATTCACAGTGAGCCTGGAGTGTGTCAGGAAATCTTGTCTTTACCCTGCCCCCCAAACAAACAAACAAAAAGACAAGAAAGGAGGAAAGCTACCCAGGCTAGAGTAAAGTGAGATGAATTTGTGTTCTCATCCATACCATCCAGATTCATCTCACTGTACTGTGTGGTATGAGCTGTTTAGAGCCATGTTTTTCATACTGTATGTTGTAACCCATTGGTGATAGGTAAGATCATTAGTGGACCCAAATCGGCAATTTAGAAAAAATGTTAAAGCCAGGTATGGTGGCATACACCTGAAATCGAACACTGTGGAGTGTGGCGACAGGTAAATTGTAAGTGCAGGCCCAGCTTGGGCAATTTAGTACTTTAGAAAGCCCTTTTCTCAATACAAGAAATAAAAAGGGCTGGGAACATAGCTCAATGTGAAGGCCCTAAATTCTCAGTACAATCAAGGAAACCCACTCCAATCCAACCCAACCTGGAAACAAATAAGTAATCAAAACCAAATTAAATATGAAAGCATAGTGTAGTAGACTTAAGTGTTACTGTGAATATTATATTTGCATTGGTTGCAGTTGTGTGTGTACCAGGTTACTCTGTATTTGTTTGATGATACTGAGAAAAATCTGAGCATGCTGTATGAAATCCAGTAACCTTTGATTCTTTAGTCTTGCAGAGATTGGCCTGCAAGACTGTGCAACAAGAAAGTAGGAAGCTCTTAGGAAGATTCTTCAGACAAAATGGCAAAATATCCTCTTAACAAAGATAATAGAGTGACAGCTCACAGGGTACATTGAGGTATCTAATCAGGATGAGTGTGCTCTACCAGTAAAATGTAAACCATGGGCCTTCATAGGTTCTCTGGAAAAAAGTTGAAAGTAATAGATATTTTTTAGTTAAGATCTTCATGTCAGAGAAAACTATCTCAACACTGGTTATTAACACTTGTCAAGATTTTATTGCAGCTTTTGAATGTTAAAACAATTGTAGTAGAAAAACAAAAATATTTAGGAAATTGGTTTGTAGAACAAGTCTTACACCTATTAAAGTATATTTAAAAGCTGTTTAAACCTATTAAGAATGCTTTTATTTATGTTTTTAGAAGATTGTGCATTTTCTTTGCCAAACCAGGTTTGCAACAGCTTTTATGTTTATGCATTTTTCTTAATTTTTTGATGTCTCTTAGTGTCTCATCTGTGATTAGCTCTTACATATTTAGGCATATTGTATAATATGCAAATATTCCATTGCGTTCTGAGTGGAGCACATTGACCTCAAGAAGTGGCCATCAGGAAAAGCTGGGAGCTAAAAGTAAGCCAGGTTGTGTGTGCTGACAGCAGATGGCCAGCCACCTGTGGATTTTTTTTTAAAAAATTAATTTATTTATTTAGTGTGTGTGTGTGGCCAGCTCAGCCCACCAGGGGGCGGGCTGACTGGCATGTGGTGCTGGGGGATTGAACCGCGGTCCCTGTGCTTTGCTAAGCTTGTTCTAAGTAGGTGCTTTAGACCACTGAGCCATCTCTCCAATAATTCACCTGTGGATTTTTACAGGAATGTGTAGAAAATTGAACAATGTGAAAGTAACTGAGGGTATGTGCAAGAGGGGATTCAGTACTAAAAGCAATAGTGGGAGATGAAAGGTCAGATTCTTCTGTTACCTTCTTCCCTCAAAGTGTGTAACATAAAAAGCTTTTAATGATCATCTGAAGGAAAAGAAAGTTAGAAAGGGGATCTAGTTGTGTGTAGGTAGTGCTAGCTGATTGTCATAACCTAATCAGCGCAGAAGAGAAAGGGCTGTTACTCGCTTCCTTCTGTTGTGAGGGTGAATGATTTTAGAGAGCTCGGCCCACTAGCATATTCTTTTAATCCCAGCACTCAGGTAGCCAAGGTAAGAGAACTGTAGATTCAGAGTCAATGTGGGCAACTTAAAACTTATCTTAAAAAAAAAAAAAAATTAGGGCTGCAATGATGGAGTAAGTAACAATAAAACTGGAATCTGATTGAAATGCTATCAGAGTGTCCCCTTTCTTATTTTTATCTTCTGGCCAGATGAAACATTTTCTAAAGTTCTGGATGAATTTATGAATAAAATTTTTATACTACTTTTGGCAATTTTTGATAAATTGTGAAAGCCTGGAGATAAACAGGTTTTTTGATGTTCCAAAGGTAAAATAGATTATGCACGTGAGTACTGAGTAATTTTGATCGGGCAAGATTATTATGAGAGAATGATTTATGAGCACGTAAGAAAGAACAATAGAACTATGGAAGACAAGGGACACATGCTTTTAAGAATAAAACATTTTCATTTTCTGTTAGGAAAACTAGACGGGTAGATACATCTGGATCTCGGCACAGTTTTTGATAGTGTTTTGACACTCTTCAGGATAAACTAGAGAGTTGATCATGAGGCTCCAGAAGGGTGCTGATTAGCTAATAGATTGATGGGTGGGGTGACAGCCTGGTACCCCTAAGCCCTAGATGTAGGGTCTATATTTCAGTCAGTATTTTAGTGTCGATTTGGAGGACTAGTTTTCAAATTTTTAGACCTTGAAATTTATTAGAATAAGTATCTGAAAAGTTTTTGAAAGGCTTTTAATTTTTGGATTAAAGTCTTATGATGTGAACTATACTTTGGATAAATGAGTCTTGTGATGCTAGAGGGTAGTTTGGTGGGGTGATTTTTTAGATTGCTTTTTGTTTACTCTGATCACAAATCATTCCTATCAGAGTAACTGGCAGCAGATATTTCCTGCCCTGAATTACTGGGATTGTTTTGTTTTGCTTTGAAGAAATTTACTTTCTAACTTATCAGTAAGCATCGGTATACAATTTAAAATATATCTAGCGGGGGGGCTGGTGAGATGGCTCAGTGGTCTAAAGCACCTACTTAGAACAAGCTCAGCAAAGCACAGCGACCGCGGTTCAATCCCCAGCACCACATGCCAGCCAGCCCCGTCCCCTGGTGGGCTGAGCTGGCCACACACACACACATACACACACACACACACAAATAAATAAATGTAAAAAAATTAAAAAAAAATATATATATATAGCTGGGCTGGGGAGATAGCTTGGTCGCTTAAGTGCCTGCCTGGCAAGCACAAGGTCCTGAGTTTGATCCCTGGTGTACACACACACACACACACACACACACACACATATTAGAGAGAGAGAAAGTGCCTGTAATGTTATGAAGTCAATACTGTTTTATATGGAGGAAAAGTTGTGGCTGCTTTTTACTTCTCATCAGTGCAGTACTTTACCTGTTTTACATGGGGAGCTTTCCTTGTGATGAAGGCCATGGACTGGGGACAGCCTACATTGTTGTCAGCTATTAATTTGATTATTATGCTTATGGGCAAGTTAAGGTGATGGTATTTACATTCTCACGTAAGGTTTGAGAAGACATAAGTGACACTGCAGAATTTCCTTGTCTTTCACATGTTGCTGTTTCTCTCTTCATTCCTGTGATTACTATGAACATTTTGCTCCTGTTGTTAGCAGTTTCTTGCTGGGGTATTTTTGGTAACAAATAAATTTTAAAATAAATTTATGTTCATTTTGTTGAGCAGTGAAAGTACTTTGAAAATACATTTAAATCAACTTTTGGGGGGTGTTGTGGGAAAGGGGGCATAAGGTATAAATAATTGAAAAGTTTGTGTTTGGTTTTAAAATACTATTTGGATCTGAATTCAGTTTGACAGTTCTTGATCAAAATAAAATGTTTTACCAGTTTTGTAGCCCATGTGATTTGCATTCCTAAATCCAATTTAAATATCTGTAGGCGTCATCCTAACCCACCCTGAACTGTAGCCCTTCTTAAAGCAGATCTTTGTTTATTGACTTAGATTAGAACTGGCCTATTGCCCAGTGATGGTCATTTCTCATCTTAAGGTTTTTGGTTACAGATCTGCTTTTGTTACCAGTTCCAATACAGATTCTTGATTGTTTTTGTTAGTTTTTTTATAAGTGCTTGCCAAAGATACAGTGTAGTATAACCAAAACAGATGTTCTGTTTAGACAAATATATTTGCTGTAACAGGACCTAACATGTAAATTAAATGATAAAATGTTTGGCATTAATGTAATAATTGATGAACTTGGAGATTTTATTGTTTTTGAGAGCTTTTAGAAATGGAGGAAACAATGTCCTATTTTGAGCAATTATTTAACATTTTTTCTCAGCCTAGTCTCAGCTTGTACAATTCTACATTAGGTGCTCCTCCAAACTGAAATTTTGTTATGGTTTTGAAGGAAACAGAGCTCACCAATTTCATCTATCTACAGTTTTGTTGTACTTTCTGCATAGAGGTTATCAATTGAATAGAAAGGATAGTTCTGAGGACTTTAATATTTATTAAAGGTGAAATAGTTATACAAAGTGATGTCCTTTGTAAAGTAGGGCACTATGTTACAAGGCTGTGATGTCCATTTTTTGGTATTTTTAGAAGCCAACTCTGTAATAAGTTCTGTAACAGACCGCTGGGCAGGAAGCTGGTAGGGCCGGGCGTCACGGGCGGGGAGGCGCGGGCTGGACTTGCTCCAGAGCCCGGGCGGGCGGCAGCTTCTCGGCCGGGAAGTGGGGAGAAGCTGGTGTATAATCTAAATAGCCCAGAGGAGGATCTCTAGAAGGCAACCCAAGGGCAGCCTTGAGCCCTCCCTTGCCCGCCCTCCCTGGTGGGGGCCAGGATGCTGAAGAAGCAGTCTGCAGGGCTTGTGCTGTGGGGAGCTATCCTCTTTGTGGCCTGGAATGCCCTGTTGCTTCTCTTCTTCTGGACACGCCCAGCACCTGGCCGGCCACACTTAGACAATTCTCTGGATGACGACCCTGTCAGCCTTACCCGCGAGGTGATCCGCCTGGCTCAGGATGCTGAGGTGGAGTTGGAGCGTCAGCGGGGGCTGTTGCAGGAGATCAGGGAGCATCATGCTCTATGGAGCCAGCGGTGGAAGGTGCCCACTGTAGCTCCTCCTGCTCAGCCTCGTGTGCCCGTGACCCCGTCGCCAGCTGTGATCCCCATCTTAGTCATTGCCTGTGACTGTAGCACTGTCCGACGTTGCTTGGACAAACTGCTGCATTATCGGCCCTCAGCTGAACACTTCCCTATTATCGTCAGCCAGGACTGTGGGCACGAGGAAACAGCCCAGGTCATTGCTTCCTATGGCAGCGCCATCACACACATCCGGCAGCCTGACCTGAGCAACATTGCTGTGCAGCCTGACCACCGCAAGTTCCAGGGCTACTATAAGATTGCCAGGCACTATCGCTGGGCACTGGGTCAGATCTTCCATGAGTTTAAGTTCCCAGCTGCTGTAGTGGTGGAAGATGATCTAGAAGTGGCGCCAGACTTCTTTGAGTACTTCCAGGCCACTTACCCACTGCTGAGGAATGACCCCTCTCTTTGGTGTGTGTCTGCCTGGAATGACAATGGCAAGGAGCAGATGGTAGACTTGAGCAAGCCAGATCTGCTCTATCGCACAGACTTTTTTCCTGGCCTGGGCTGGCTGCTGTTGGCTGAACTGTGGGCTGAGCTGGAGCCCAAGTGGCCCAAGGCCTTCTGGGATGACTGGATGCGCCGGCCTGAGCAACGAAAGGGGCGAGCCTGTGTGCGTCCTGAGATCTCAAGAACAATGACCTTTGGCCGCAAGGGTGTGAGCCATGGGCAGTTCTTTGACCAGCATCTCAAGTTCATCAAGCTGAACCAGCAGTTTGTGCCCTTCACCCAGCTGGACCTGTCATACCTGCAGCGGGAGGCCTATGACCGTGATTTCCTTGCCCGTGTCTATGGTGCTCCCCAGCTACAGGTGGAAAAAGTGAGGACCAATGACCGGAAGGAGCTGGGGGAGGTGCGGGTGCAGTATACAAGTAGGGACAGTTTTAAGGCCTTCGCCAAGGCCCTGGGGGTCATGGGTGATCTCAAGTCAGGTGTTCCCCGGGCCGGCTACCGAGGCATTGTCACCTTCCATTTCCGGGGCCGTTGCGTCCATCTGGCGCCCCCACAGACCTGGGATGATTATGATCCTAGTTGGAATTAACAGCATCTGCCTGTCCCTCTGGGGTCTCCTCCTTGCCATGCCATGAGCTGTGATGGGACTGCAGTCCCTGGGCTGCGTCGTCCTGTCTGTATTGCCCTTTTGGGTCCATTTATCTTTTGGTTTTTCCTTTGTGTTTTCTTTTGAGTGGCATTCAAGTGCACAGATGTTAAGATGAAGATTATTCTCCCGTTCTCAAGGGAGTCAGAGGAGAAGGGTCATTCTGAGGTGTGTTGAGAGGTGTTATTGTACAAGAAACCACTGTGTGGTAGGAGACGTGGGCTTATTGGGGCCAAGAATGTCTACATCCTGAGTTTTCTCCTGTGGTCTCTGCAGACAGGTTGGCAACTTCAGCTTTCTTGATCAGGCCTCTTCTGTGATTTGGCTCTTCCAGCCAGGCTGTGAACCTCCTCCTGTCTTTTCTTTTACCACCTTGCACCAATGTGGGGCTGGGTTATGGGAAAAGAGGATTATTTGTGGCCAAAATGAAACTAAACAAAGGAGTTTCACTGCAGGGTCAAGGTAGAGTTGATGGGTGCCAGGGTTTACTGTCTCCTGCCCTTCTCATCACTGATCTGCTCTCAGCTCTTGTTTCCCTACAGTCTCGTACTTGATAGTTCAGAGATGAAACATGGAGGAGGAAAAGCAAGATATCCCCCTTGGCTCATGCCCATTTGTCAGCAGAGAGGTGGTAGGAGCAAAGAGGTGGATATTCCCCCATCTATTGCTTGCCTCAAAGAGATACTATTACTAGACTCCCTCCTTTCTAAAAAAATCAGCCTCCCTGTTTTAGGAGGACTCCGTGCTGGCGCGAAGACAGTTGAGCTCCCCTGTCTCTTTCTCCCCTAGGGTTTGGTGCTCAGACCTTTCCCTGAGGACTGCGGCTTCAAGTGGCCTTCTCAGCCTAAGGTAGAGTAGCTGAGATCAGGACAGTTCTGGCCCTGGAACAGACCCTGCATATTCCCATGTCCTCACAGGCTAGGAAATGGCAGGTCCAAGAGGGATTTAAGTGTTTTTATTGCCTGAACTCAGTTTCGCAGAACAAAGTGGAATCTACAGAATTATTTTCAAAAATAAAGGCTGAATTGTCTGAAAAAAAAAAAATAAGTTCTGTAACAGTCATGGTTTATGCTCTGTTCTGTCAGTGAACACAGATGTGAAGTAGATACAAGATAGATGGATTAATATTAAATAATTTTAATTACTTTTGATCATAGTTCCTAGAATAGATTATGTAAGGAATAGTAGTGTATATTCAATGGTTAATAATGAGACTATATTTGTATTTCTTTTTATTTTTACTTTGAGACAGGTTTTTGCTGTGTGTTTCAGACTGGCCTGGAACTCATGGTGATCTTCTGTCTCAGCGTCCCTAGGGCTAGGATTCCATGCGTGCACCACTATGCCTGGCTCAGAGAAAGTCTTTTTTTATACCAGGAATTGAAATCAGGACCTTGTGCTTGCCAGGCAGGTGCTGGGCCACTGAGATATATCCCTGGTACTATTTTGTTAACTCTTTAGCCTATTACTTTTCTGTAGCACTAAGCAACTGTCTGTTTTCTCTCACCTTTGGCTTGTTTTCCTTCACCTTTAGTTTGTCTTCCCTCACCTTTGCCCAACACTTTCCCAAAGAAGTATTCAGTTGATTATTGAGGAGCAGTTAAGTTCTTTTCTTACTACTTCTGTTAGGTTTATGCAGAAACATTAGGTTTGTGTTTTGTCCGTCTCTGTTTCTCTGGGTAGGTGTCTGTTGCTGTCATTTCAGTTTGCATTACAAGAATTCAAAATTGCTGGTGTCCTTTGCTGAGATCCTTTTTATTTGGTTATATGGGACTTGAAGATTCAGGAGCCAGAAATTGGAGTTCTTGAATCAACCTTATTTGTATTTCTTGGCATTGGGCAGCAGTGGGGTGGGGGTGTTGATTCTCATGTATTTTATGTGGCTAAATCTTTGTATAATGCTTTCCTAACTTTTTGAAATACCACTTTCAAGTTCCCCACATCCGTACATTTCTAAGGTTACACCCAGCTTAATCTCCATTACTTTCCGCTTCATAGCACTTACATTTTGTAGGAACCCTAACATTTGGGTTCACATTATGATAATGAGGTTTCAGGGCATGGAGGATTAAAGATGTCTCAGGTCTAGTTGCAGAATAAAGTGCAGAAGCACTTGTAAAACTTCCCTGATTGGTGAGTTGAGGTCCTTTTATTTATTCACTACTCATGCAGCATTAATCCGTATTTCATCAGGTACCTACAGTGCTGTAATTCTAGACGTGACCTTGGGTCTTGATTTACTTCAGCTCCGTTTTCTTTATTAATGTGCCATGAAAGAGGTACATGAAAGATAGCCAACATCAAAGCACCTTTTAAAGTACAATGGTTGATAGGAATTCCCTGGTATTTAACACTGTCTGTCAAATGTTTCAGCTGGTTTGCATCCTTTTACAAGCTATTGCTTGCTGCACTGAAAGAAATTTAAAGCAGTTGTTTCAAGTCTTGGTGGGAGTACAGTAGGGGGTATTAGTGATGGTAGTGGTGGTGTTCATAATGGTAGGGGGCCAGTAATTGGCCAGAGAAGAGAGTGAATGGGAGTTTAAGAACATGTTGTTTTCAACTGTGTTTCTCCCAGTGTTGTTCTTACATTTTTCTGGCTGAGGGATCTTTAGTCCAACACTGTTTATGATCAGAAGAAGGCACTTAACTTGGTTATCAGTTGCTAAGAGGGTAGCCACAGAAAATTCTCAACCCTTTGTGAAGGAAAGAATAAAATAGGATGTCATTATCTTATTTAGATATTATTTAACTAATTTGATTTCATAGCTTGTTTATTCTTTATTCAGTCATGAGAAAAAGTTATCAAACTCAGTATTGTGAAAAACTGAGTCTGAAGCATGAACAAAGGAAACGGGCGTGGAGAAGCCTTGCTGTGAAGATTAACTTGCCCATATACACATCTTTTAGATGCTGATTTCCCTGTTGAGAGCTGAATATATGTTGGTAGGCTTTCTTGTAGCTGAGTTTTGAAACTGATACCCATTTTTGTTTCACAAATAGTTGGCTGTTTCTCTCTACTTAAGAAAAGATTTTTTTTTTTTTTTTGGTCTTTTTGAGACAGAGTCTTACTATGCATTTCAGGCTGGCCTTCAACTCACTTTGTAGCCCAGGCTGGCCTCGAACTCTCAGTGATCCTCCTGCCTCAGCCTTCTGAATGTTGGGATTACAGGTATGCACCACCATGCCTGGCAAGAAGATATTTAAAAGCCTTTACTTCTTAGGTTCTCACCAGGTTGCCTTTGGATTTATTCCTATCATCTTTACCATAGAATTTTCATAATCTGAATGGTGAAAAATAAAATTATGTAATGTTGTGGAAAATGATATGTACTTGTCTTTAGATTTATATCAGTATTTTGCTTTCAGTGTACTAACACAGGGCTGGCCAAATAGCTCAGTGGCCTAAAGCACCTGCTTAGGCAGAGCTCAGTGGCTGGGGTTTGATTCCCAGCTTGCCGTGCCAGCCCTGCCCCGGGGCGCACTGAGCAGGCCACCAAGACCAGCCATGGTGGTGCATGCCTGTAATCCCAGCACTGGGGAAGCTGAAAACAGGAAGATCTCTTAAGTCCGAGCTGAGTAGTGAGACCCTGTACCAAATACGTAAAAAAGAATCATGTCAAATCAAATAAAAAAGCATAAGCCAAAAGTCACCAAACCATTCTACAGCTCTTTACCCCAGGAAAGTTAAAATCTTAAAAAACAAGATCTTGACTTTCTAGGCAGTATTGTGCTTCATCTCTCAATTATCTATGACTTTGTGTCTAGAATCTGTTTTCTTTACCTTCTTTATCTCTGGGTGCTTTGTGTGTGTGTGTGTGTGTGTGTGTGTGTGTGTGTGTGTAAACTTCTTTCCTGTTGTGGTACTGGGGATTGAACTGAGGACCTCAGCCCTGTAATTCTGAACTCAGAATTACTTACAGTGCAGTAAATTGCAATAGCAGAATTGCCAGCGCGGCATGTAGTACAGGGGGTTGATTTGATTTTGAAATTCTGAGACTTGGTGTATCCTGTCTAATTCAAGATCAACAGTTGTTATACATAAATTTGCCCTAACGTTGTGTATGTTGTTATATTAACTACAAGGTAGTCTAAAGTTTGACTGATAGGAGTCATCATAGATCATTAGGTGACATTTATTATTTACTTGGTGATAAGAAACTTGAATGAATCACAGCTGAGCATGTTTTGGACCATGTTTTAAAAAAGTCTTTTTGACGTTTCACTGTGCAGTGTAGGATGGCCTTGAACTCACTTTATATCTCATGCTGGCTTCGAACTCACAGCAGTCCTCTTGCTTCTGCCACCCATGTGCTGGGATTATAGGCATGTGCCACCAGGCCTAGCCTTGGACCAGTTTACCTTGTTTGCCTAAAATTTCACTGTTCTTCAAGACAGTTTTAGTTTTCCATTCAATATAGTGATTTTCACGAATCTGAAAACTCTGAGCTACCCTAAACTTTTGATAGACTACATTAGTTACATTCTTGTGTGACAGGTTTGAGTTAGATAGTTCTGTTGTTTAAATCGATGCTACCACCACCATAGGCATTATTATATTTTACGTCCTATTTTAAGTTTTGCCGAGCAATATATCTGGGGGGTTTCTGACTCAGAACTTAGATGTTAGTATTGCCAACACTTTGTGGGATGTAGATACAGAGAGCCCTCAGTAATACTCAGTAATGAGAACTATTTTGAGGATGTCCATTTCTATTCAAATTTAATTTCTGACATTCAGTTCTTCGCTTCTCTTAAGGTCTTAGGCTTAGGTTCATTTATACAAAAGGAACCTAGATGCTGTGTTGTTGTTCTTCCTCCTCCTCCCCCTCCTCTTCATCTTCTCCCCTTACTGAGCATCTTCTCCCTCTCAGGTCCTTCGGGAGATGTCATATTTGGTTTTCAAAGGGAGATGCTACTTCAAGATGGCTTAAATTTTAGTGGTAAAAGCAGTAACAATTTCCACCATGAAATCAGTCTTTTTCTTTTTTCTATTTTAAGGAATTTTTTTGTTGGATGCAGAAAGGCTAGGGGGTATTAGAGATTCCTGTTCAGATTTTCCAGTTTGGATGTTGACATTTTCTCATTCAGAGATTTGGACAGGGAGGTATGGAAAATGCTGTATATGGTTAGATTTCTAAATTTCTTTGTAAGAATATGTAATTGTTTATTCCTATTTTTTAAAATATTTTTTTCTTTTTCTGTTTTTTTCTTCACATTCTGTAGGGATTTAAAGTTTAACATATCAATACTTGATGGAAAATACTTGTTCCATGTTATGTCTAAGATGTTTGATATTCAGACAGATAGTGAGGTTATGCTCAACTGCTTATGTTTTAGGGTAATGATATCATTAAGTTTCTCTTCTAGAGGATTAACAACTTAAGTTTGCAGTCCAAAAATTAGAGAAAAAGAAGGGCTGCAAAGATAGCCAACACTTTGGCCCTAGTCTTTCAAGGTCAGTGAGGACTCAAGACATAGGAGAACCTGTACTGTAACATCCTGTAACTCAGTTGTGTCCCAAATTTTCTGATCAAGGAGATTATGGGGCCACAGAGGAAAGTGATCGATGATGTAGAGTGTGCCTGGGGAGAGTCACATGGAGAGAAAACATTCTCTCAGGCTTTCACAGAGATCAAATTGGTCAAGCAATGG